ATCGCCCCGGACTCCAAAAAGCGCGCGGCCCGTTGTGCGCCTGCGCCGGGAGTGAGTTGCGCGTGCGCGTGCGCGGCGCGACGTGCTCGAATCTGAGCTGCGCGTGCGTGCTTACGTACGTACGTACGTACGTGGGGTGGTGGCCCCTGGGATAACTCCCGTTAGGAGACGTGCTAACTGTCCAGGCGCGGTGGGGTTACATATTTATTTTTCAGTCCTAGGGATTGAACGCAGGGCCTTAACACAGATTTACACCCGCATCCGCCTTTTCTATTTTGAGACAGAGTCTCTCTAAGTCACCCAGGCTGGGCTCCAATTTATGATCCTCCCTCCTCAGCCTCCCCGAGTGCATTGATTACAGGCGCCAAAGGTGATGGTGGTTTTAAGTGACAGGTTGTATTCGTTTCACGGTGCACAGGGTTCATTTTAAAGAAATGGGAAGGGGATCTGGAGATTTGAGGGAGAGGGGAGGGGTTAAGGGGAGGTAAAAAGGATCAAGCTGTGTGCGTGGCCCAGTCCCCCAGGATGAATGTGTTTACTGTGGATCACAAACACACTAGTAAAAGAGGGATCAAACCCAAAGATGAAAATAATTAAAAGTGCTCGGAAATACAGACAAGGCCGTAGTGTGCGTTGATGGACGCTGGAGCTGACGCCTGGACTCACCTCGTGCTGCAGACAGGGAAGGGTGGGGAGCTGCATTAATGCATTTAAGGTAGGGCTCTCCCCAGACGTCCCGAACTGGCTTGTTCGTCAGCCATGCTCCCATCCTGCCTTCTCACCCCACAATCTACTGTGGGTTCTCAGTCTCCTTTCCAACAGGAATAAACGTGGGTCACTCAAGAAGCTCCTGAAAGGACTACCAGCAAGAGAGCCCCACCTGGGCAGCTTAGCAAGACCCTGCCTCTAAATACAAAATAAAAAGGGCGAGGGAGGTAGCTTCCTGGGAGCACCATGGTTCAGCCGCCAGTATCTGAAGGTAAAAATAAAGGACCTGCTGTGCGTACACACCGTTTAAATTGTGTAAGTATCTGGTGCGTGACACGCAAGCGGTGATACTGCTACATGTATTGTTACTAATAATACAGTACTCTTACTGGCTTTCAGACCCTTTATGCTTTATCAAAACTTGTTCATCTAAAAAACGGGACACATTAGAATGTATCCTAATGCCTCAGCATAGAATGTAAGGGTTTACTGCTTAAGCTTTGCAAATACCACCTTTTTCCTTCAGAACACAGGCGGTGGAGGATATTCTTCTGCCTTCTGGGTAGAAGCTGCTGAACCTGCAAAGAGGTTTTTACCTACATACAGCAGACCATGCCAGTCCTCTTGAGGGTTTCCGGGAGATGGCTGCTCATTTCCATATTCATGAGTTTTATAAACCTGGTCTCCGATAATGCCAGTGTACAGTTGAGTGAGCTCATTTGTTTTTGAGCAAAGGGATAATAGGGTCCCAAGTAATATGCATCCTTTTCTGCCAGGAGATTTGCTTTCAGTAAGTTTAAAGAGATATGTTTGGAGGTGAGCGTGGCAGGTGAGTGGGTTGAGGCAGGAAAGGAGACAAACAAATTCAAATCCAGTTCTTCTGTGGAATTCCCTAAGTATGGCCAGAATCCCAGATTTCCAAACCTTCCCAGTTAGGGATCAGGCTAACTATGGTGAGGAAGAAGGTGAGTAAAGACTGGGGAGGGTAGGCAGCCCTCCTACAGAGAAATGTGATGTGACAAGCTGACACCAGTGGAAGGCACAATTCTACTGCGAGATTTTCATCTGACACAGAATGAATCATAAAGAGGTATGGAGTGGCTGCCAGTGGCATTGCCAGCATTAAGCTGGGGAGTAGAGATGCTGCCTTCCCTGTATTAGAAGAAAGAATTACAACAAATTTAAAGTACTGTTCAGCTTTTATTCGTGAATCAGGGTAGCCTCCATTGTACAAAATTGAACAAGAGTTTGCACTTGTCAAAGGCAAAATAGTGGACTTTGTAAAGTGAGAACAGGAAACCAACAAAAGGCAAAACTGGTGTTAACATCATGCTAAGTTAGATTAGTTTCCATGTAAGGATTGAACCAGTATGACTTCCTTATCTTGCTGACTCCCAGTCTCGGCTCTCTGACTGGTTTCTGTGAACTTTCTGCTTTTAAATATAAATTGGTCTGCTTGTATATCCACCTGCTTCCTTAAAAATTTTTTTGGCTATGTAGTATTTAGCATGAATGACTCCATTTTGATTTGGTCTGTTGGGGCCTATCTTAGTCCAAAATGATGGCCTCCCATAATTCTTAATACCTGGAATGGGGCATAATAGAGCAGTAAGGAATTGTTTTGCTAATTTTCCTCAAGGACCAACCAGAGTCAGTGCTTCTCGGTGTTTCCAGTTTGGTATCAAATATTTTGAATTGTTCCACAAAGGCAGTTATATTGAAGTCTTAACCCACCAATCTGTGAGTCTAACCTTATTTGGAAATGGAGTCTTTACCACATCAAAATGACTTCATACAGGATTAGGGGAGGCCTGACTCTTTTTTTTTTCCTCCTCATTGAGTTTATTGGTACATTTTAGGTATACAGTACAGTTACATTCATTATTGGGATCTTGTACCTTTACATGACAGGTCTTGGTTCTCATTTTTTCCCCTTGTCCCTGCCCTCCCTTCACCCCCTTTTCCCCTCCCCCTTTACAAACACTTCATTTCCATTTTTTTCATTTTCTCATATTTTTTTCTTTTCCCTTACTAGCTTTCCCCTACCCTTCCCACTTTTCCTACGCCTGTAGCCCCTTTCTTCCTATTTCACATAGTCAATTATATTATTAGGATCTTATGTACTATTATAGTTTATTCATACCAGAGAAACTATTCGGTATTTACACATGTGTGACTTATTTATTTCACTTAGGAGTATATCCTCAATATGTATCCATTTTCCTATGAATGAATCTAATTTCTCATTCTTTATGGCTGAGTAATATTCCATTTTATAGAAAAACCACAACTTCTTTATCCAGTTCCAACTGATGGGCAAATGGGCTGTTTCCAAGTTTTAGCTATTACAGACTGTGCCACTATAAACATAGGTGCACATATATCTCTGTTTCTCTCACAGATGACCAGTGATGTGGAACATTTTTTCATATATTTACTTGCTGTTTTTACTTCTTTGTCTGAAAATGTCTGTTCATTTCAGATGCCCATTTTTAAATCGGGTCTTTATATTTGGGGGGGCTGATTGTTTTGAGTTCTTTATATTTCTAGATAATAGTCCTTTGTCTGAGGAGCAACTGGTAAAAATTTTTTCCCACACTGTAGACCAGTGATGTGGAACATTTTTTCATATATTTACTTGCTGTTTTTACTTCTTTGTCTGAAAATGTCTGTTCATTTCAGATGCCCATTTTTAAATCGGGTCTTTATATTTGGGGGGGCTGATTGTTTTGAGTTCTTTATATTTCTAGATAATAGTCCTTTGTCTGAGGAGCAACTGGTAAAAATTTTTTCCCACACTGTAGGTTGTCTCTTAGTTCTGTTGATGGTTTCTTTTGCAGTGCAGAAGCTTTTTAATAAGATGAGATTCCAGTTGTTGATTCTTTCTGCTAGTTCCCGTGCTACTGAGGATTTGTTCATAAAATCTTTTCCTATGCCATTGTCTTCAAGAGTTCTGCCTAACATCTTCTAGCAAGTTTAGTGTTTCTGTTTTAATATTTAATCTTTAATCCACTTGGATTTTAGTGGAGGCCTGACTCTTCATATGATGGATGTCCTTAGGAAGAAATGATGGAGAGGCACAGGGAAGATGGAGGACAGGCAGAGACTGGAGTGATGGGGCCACAGGCCAAGGAGTATCTGGGTTTACCGGAAGCTGGGCTTGAGGGGGGCAGAGCCATGCTGACACCTTGCTTTTGGGCTTCTGATTTTCAGAACTGTAAAGGAACTTCTGTTTTCCTAAGACCTTGAGATTGGGGTGCTCATTACAGCAGCCCCAGGAAACAGTACTGGGCCTTCTACAGCATCCAGGTTGAGGGCAGAGGGGCAGGACTAGGCCCACAAAGGGCCTCTCCAGGGTTCAGTGCCAGCTCCACCACGCACCAGCCACAGCTGAGGGGATAAACCTGGGCAAAGCGCAGAGTGGCCGGCCCAGCTTGCACTGCCATGTGTGGGGTGTTACTCCAGGATTGTCTGTCCCAGGTGGGTGCCCCGATCAGAGTGTGGCACTGAAAGCTGTCCTGAAAACCTTCGTGGTTTTCCTACTTTTTAGGCTTTTCCACCTTGTTCCTTACTAGTTTGGCTAAATTCTTATTTTCATAGAGTATTGGACTCTCAGACACACGGCAGAGTTTAGGGCTGCCTGCACTGCAGCCCCACTCTCATTTACGGAAGAGAGTCCCTACCACTTCCCAGCTCTACGCTTCCCATCCTCCCTTGGTGACCTGCAGTGATGGAGAAGCCCTGCACTATGAGAAAGCACATTTGCTGATAGCTTAAACTTTTCTTCATACTACAAAAAATATCCCTATGTCATTTGCTCTTCTGAGTAACAGTGGAGACTCCTCAAATGAGAAGCAGTGTAAATATCGAAGACAGCTGTCAAGTCCTCCGTCACCCTTCTCACCAGGCATCCTTCCATCCAAAGTCTTGAGCTTTCTCTATTCTCAGCTGGGTGCTTCATCAGCAGCCACCAAAGGCCACTAAGGCAGCCTCTGGTGCTTGTCCCACCGGTCAGCACTATGTCACAACAGCAGGCTGAATGCAGAGTTCAGTAAGATGTCATGCGCTGACCACATACTCATCGGAGTAGGCCAGGCCTGTAACAGCTTCCTCACGTTGGACCACTTGGGGATTGTCTGCCTGGTGGGGTCAGGTGGCACAAATGCCAGCAGGGTCAGCTGGCCCTGCCTTAGTCACATTCTCATCGCTGACTCAGAGTACCCGACACCCACAATTTCAGGGAGGAAAGGTCTGTTTGGGCTCATGCTTGCAGTCCTAGTTGGCTGGCTTCAAGGCAGAAGAGCATGATAGAGGGTCAGTGGAGAAGCTGCTCATGTCATGGCAGTGGGGAAGCAGAGATCAGGGAGGAGTTGGGAAGGGAGACAACCTCCCAGGTCACAGCCCCGATGACCCGCCCTTTCCGACCAGACCCCACCTCCTAACAGCACATTTAGGTTTGAGAAGTATGTCTCCCCCTTCATCTACTCACCTTCCAGAAGTGTCACTTTTCAGCATCAGGCTTTGGGAGGACATCCAGCCACAAACTATAATCCTAAGGAGCACACAGAAAATTGGGCAGCACAGTACAGTGGGCAAGAGAGTGGGTTCTAGAGCCAGACCGGCTGCAGTCTCAGCTTAGCCACCGATTATCCATGTGACCTAGGGACAAGTCACCAAACCTCTCAAAGGCTTGCTTTTGACATCTGTAAAATGAGATAGTGGTTCCTACCTCTGAGAATTTCAAAATACTTCTTATCTCTAGGGCTGCACGGTTTGGGGCCTGAGCCCTATGTTGAAGATACTCCTCGAGAACAGGAGATGAATGACCTGGAATGAGCCAGCAGTCATGCAAGATTTTGTCTGTTGAGTCTTCATCTAAACTGAAGTCCTAGACTCTGTTCCCAAAAGGAGAAAGGAGAGCTCTGGCCCTCAGCTGACCTCTTTGCTCCCGCCTATAGCAGCCCTAGTGCCGCCCACTGTCCGGCCTCCAACTTCTCCTGGCATTCTTCCCAAACAACCTCTGTGAACAGGCAGGACAGAGCCGCTCCAAAACAGCTGAGGGCTGGTATTGGTGACTTCAGTGGCGCATCTTGGAGGCTTCCAGCAGTCCTAACACAAGGGCACACCTGGGTGCAAAACAACCGCATTTGAAAATGTAGGACCGATGGCTCAGCCTCCGTGCAGTGGCCTGAATGCCCCACTCCTCTGGGCCTGCCACAGAGGACCCCTGTGTGCCCAATGGGCCATCCCAGATTCCTACACTGTAACAGGAGTCCAGTTTGGTTCATTGATGACCAGATGTCCTGCCCAAGTCAGATGGGGGAACTGTGCACATGTAACAAATAACATCTTGCCATTCAATTACAGTTCCATTTTTCAGAAGTGTTTGAAATTCAGATAACCCTCATGTCCTTTCCTGAGTGTGCTTTTGATATTTCTAAGTCTCCAAGGAAGTAGGTAATCTTGAGGTAAAGAAGGGGGAGATGTGAGTAAATACTGTTCCTTATTGGAATTGATATTCACAGGAGTACCCATCTGTTGCTTATTAGTCACGATGGATTTGCCATACAGGGAAACTAAGGCCCAGGAAGTCAAGATCACAACAGAACTTGATCTCATTGCTTTGATCTGAGTTATCTCTGTTGAAGCCATCCCCAAGAAAAACTTGTGTGGTACTAATGTTTCTAGAAAAGTGGCTGACCCCATGCTAGGCTCTCACTGAGCATGTGTGGAATAGATGCCATTTTGAAATTTCTAAGCATTTTGAAAGGGTAAGTGTACATCACAACAATCAGCATGACAGTGTAGAATAAGATGGTCACCCGACACAATTAGCACAGCGCTTCAATTGTTTATTAATCATAAAGCCATATGGCAGGACAGTTTAAAGACTGCAGGTATAATCTCAAGTCATGATCACAGATGGCCCTAGAATATATATACTTCAGTAAGCCTTTTCTGCTACCACTGGTGGCTTTGTAGGCATGAAAACCTATGATTTTTAATCAACAAATAGCCAAGTCATGAATAAAAGCTAGGCCACTGGATTAACATTACATAGAGTAAATATTTCTTCATCGGTGAGACACAGAAAGAGTCACAAGTCTGGTTCGCTCTGGAGACAGACACAGAAGGCCACAAACAGGCTGCATTCCATGGAGCTGGGACGATATTTACTTTCTTCTCATCCTAGTTTTCAGATACACTTTCAACTTTCAGTCTCTACAGGGAGAAAAATAGTATGAACATATGACTGCATTCCAAAAATAAAAGTGTGAGAATGTGTATACTTCTTATTTGACAAGAGAGGAGGAATATAGTATTTCTCCTGTGCAATGGAGGCAACTGTCCGAGGTAAAATAGTTTGAACTAAAAGACAGGAGTTGCCATTGCCTATCTAACATCTCTCATGACAAATTGTACCAATGTCTGCTAGAATCTCTGCCTAATTTCCTGCTGTTTGTAACACAGGAATAGATCCCACTTCCGTTCAAATTATGACCATGTGGGTAGGATATGATAACCTCAGATAAGCACAAGAATAAAACCAAGTTACTAAGACTTTACATTGTTTAATTGCTTTAGCCAGAATGCACCTGCATTATAATTTCCTGTGGTATCTTATCTACCTGTAAGAAAACCGAAGCCCAGTTTTTCTCTTGAATCTGCAGCAAGTATAAAGGCCCTGAGGATCCTTATCTGATACAAGCTTGTTGGATGCATGCAGTGTTCTCCAGGAATGTCTGCCCACTGGAGCTTTGCTTTGTGGATATTAAGTGTACAGCAGTTGAATATTTCAGAACATGATCCCTTCCCTGAAACCTTACAGCGATGTTTGAGACAAGACCTGGAATGTTCTGGAGAGAGGAGGCCTGTAGCTTAGGAGTGGAGGAAGGCTCTTTGTGTATTTCCTGGCCTACTCCCACTGGAACAGTGGCTACCTTGGCTTCACTTTTCTGAAGCCACTGTAGCCACTCACATGAAATGCAACTCTAAACTGCTTTTTTGAGCACTATACCATTTCAGGTATTCATAGTTACAATTAGGAGCAAAGATGATAAAGTTGTATGCACTCAACACATTAGAGTCTGCATCCTGCAGAGGTTGTAATAAAAGACAGGAAATGAAAAGGGAGTGAGACAGAGATGCAGAAGTTACTGGGAAGGGTCACAGGGTTTCATCCACTACCCACTTCTCCAAGTAGGACCAAGAAAGATGGACAAGGCCAGAGCAGATGATAATCTGTGAAAGGCCTTTAAGGCTGACTGTTTCAACTCCTACATAGTTTCAAAAATCCTGTTGCTGATACAACATCTGCTTAAAACTTTGTCCTTCTGAGCGACCTACATGCTGGTCAAAGGACCATCCTGCTGGGGCCCCATCCCTCACTTGCAGGAGTCCAAACATGTTCATCCCATGAACTGTCAATGTTTGGGCAGTAAATCACCAGTCACATGATTCCCATCTTCATGTTTTCATTTATCTAAAGCTGGCCAGTTTAATACAGTTGCGACAGTGAGTTGTTTTAATAAATAGTTTGGGGAGATTTGAGGGGCAGACATTATAGAGATTGATATTGTCATATCCCATAAGAAAAGGTCTAAATCTAAGTCTTCAAAGATCCTTAGCAAGAGCATTTGTTTTACTTCTCCTGGCTGGACATGCTCGGGAGACAGAATTCATTGGCAGGGCCGGGGTGGAGCAGGGACACGGTCTCCCAGGAGGACAGGACGCTCCTGGCCAGGCTGTGCTCACCTGTGCAGCTCGGCTCTCAGGCCCTGTCTGGCTGCAGCACGTCCTCTGCCAGCCCCCGGATGTGGTCCCAGGCCTGCTGCACGTGGCCAGATCCCACCGCTCGGGAGCAGATGGCAAAGCGCAGCACGAACTTGTCCCGGAGGTGACAAGGGACCAGGTGGATTTTCCTGGCACCATTTATTCTCTTCAGCAGTGTCTCATTCAGCTGGTTGGAACCCTGGAGGGATTGAAAGTGAGAAACTGCTGAGCCCTTCAAGGCCTCAACCATCCACCTGTCCCATAACACGATCTTGGCCAAAGCCTGGCAACAACACAGTAACAGTGACACAGGCTAAGAGACCACCACCTCTCTCTACAAGACCATTGGCCCCCTTCCTAATGGCTGTCAAACGGTGACCCTCCCAGGGTCAAGTCTGCTTAGAGAAATGAAGCTCCCTAGACTAGATGCCATCTGCAAATGGGTGTGCCCAAGCCATGTGACTGGGATCTAAATCCCTGAAACAGAGAAGGAAGTCTCAACAGTGGAGCAGAAGCACAACAGCTAGAATCCAGAAAGGTGTCAACAAACCGAGGGTGGCCCCTCTGGAAAAAATAGCCCACCAGCCAGGGCAGAGGGGCCAGGTCCCACCACGCCCACCTAGTGCTTGGGAACAACAGACCTGTGCCAAGCAATGCGTGGAAAGCCACACTTCCCCCTGGTCCTGCCTTGCACAGCCGCCAGGCCCCGTCCTCTCTGCCCTCCCCATGGCCCCTGCCTATCTTGTTCCCATGCAGCCGCTCTGTCCACTAGACTGTCTAGTGCAGTGGGAAGGAGGAAGGGGCTGGATTGCAGAGACCCCTGTGGGACTGTGCTGTTCCTCCTGGCCCAGTCTTCAGGGTCTCTCAGGCAGAGGACTTAGTGGGGCGGGAAGCATCAGGTCTACAGCGCAGAGCTGCACCAGCAGAGCACCTGGTGGACACCAGACATGGGCCTGGACCTTGGCCACCTCTAGCTGTAGGACACTGCTTGGCTCCCAGGAAGCCCACGACACCACGACAGGGTGACAGCAATCCACAAACTGCTGCATGCACACCGGGTTGGATGAACAGGGCCCTGATGAAGGAGGTTAGAAAATGAAACAAAGCAAAGAAACGGTGATGCCAAAGGATGGGGTTTTGTCAAGAAGACTCAGCATAAGCGCACACGTCTGAAATTTACACAGTGCAGAAAATGAAAACAAATTAGGAACCCATCACTTGCCATTTTCAAGTGAGGTTGATTAGATTGGAGTTCCGTGAATTGGAGGCAAGAAGGCAAATTATTTGACACAAATCAGCTGAGTTTGACACAAATCACAGAAGGCAACTGGTCCACTGCCACATCACAGGCATGTGGTTTGATTAAAAAGCCACAGAGACGCTGAAGTGGTTGGCGATGTGGAGGACCCGAAACTCAGGCTGCACATGAACAGGATGAGGAGGAAATGACACCAGCCTGGTGACTAGGGAGGCAGAGAATGAACTACCGAGTGTGACTGATGCACATCCTCCAGAAGAAGCTGATTCGCTGAAGGAAGAGCTAAGTTTTTACAAAAGACACCACACTGGCTTTCCTGCCATAACCAGGAGAAGGAGCAAACACAGGCCCTGGGTCTGGTGTGGTCCTGACTGTGCCAACATCATGCCCAGAGAAGGAAGCCACCCACAGGGGACATGCGGTGAAGGGTCTGCTTACACGGGTGTCCAGAGAGAACTCTAGATTTGTGACCCTGACGTGGTGGCAGAGAATGGCTGAATGGGGGGGGATCCTTTTGGGGAGATGAAGATGCACTAAAAATAGGTCACTTAATAGACAACCGACATGGACAAAGTGAATCATGTCACAATAAACCCCACAAATTAAAATACAGTCGTGGGCTGGGGATTTGGCTCAGTGGTGCCGCCGCCTGTCTCAGAAGCACAAGGGCCCAGGTTCAATCCCTGGTACCAAAAAAAAAAAA